TGGTGCATATTTTGTATAAAAAGTCATACAAGTCCATATTGCAGCTCCTGGACAAACTCTTTCAAGTATTGTGTTCCTCTGAAGCTCTTTTGTTAGAACTTGCAAGTGAGATTGACTCCTGGGAAAAAGAGGGGAGAGGCCAGCTCTTAACTCAGCTTGTCCTTCCCTATTTCACAGTGGTGTGTAGCTTGCCTGATCTGGGCCTACTGCAAGGAAAATAGATCAAGAAGTCTAAAACTAGTCCTTAATGTAGTAACAACTTAAAGATGAGCTTTGTGGTTAAATGTTCTTGTTAACTTTTTAGCTTCTGGAGGAGAATGTTGTTGAACAAGACCAGAACAATTTTAACCCATGTTAAATAAAGCCACTAGAAATCTGTCATTCCTGGAGCCATACCTGTTCGTGAGATTTGTAGTTAGGGTTGAGGAATGTCAGTGTAATTCCAGTCCTTCCTAAAGGATCGTTATGATGCAGTAAAAGTGAAGCTTGATGTGAAAATCTGTATTTTGCTGTAGAAAAATGTTGACACTAATACAAAAGGCTATTTGAGCAGGTAATTCTCCTGCCATGCTGAAGAGATCTTAGGAAGCAGTGTTGCCTTGCTTCATGCAAGGGTTTTTGTTTAGGTGGTTAACACTGAAGTTAGTACTGATCTTAAAGGGAGTGATTGGAGTTTGGTGCTGTAAGCAAGAGCTGGCCACTGCCTAGCAACTAATGGTGTCGTGTTGGCTCAGTTCAGATAAGGAACAAAAATATTTTCCTCCCTATCCAAATGGAAAAATACAGAGGTATTTGTGTGGGGCACGAGCAGTGCATCTGGTGCAAGACGAGCTGACAGGAGCACTTGTTACCAAGGTGTTTCAGAGCAAAGTGGAGGATCTGGCAGCTGCCTGTTTCTTCTGGTGTTTTTAAGTAGTTGCATTCAAACATGAAAAAATTAAAGTGTGCTGACATGAACATTAACAAAAGGAGAATATTAAAAGCTCTGGTGTCCTTATGTCCCTCCCTTCTCTCTTTGGAAATGTCTTTCTCTTCAGTCTTTCTGTCAAAACATTTAGCAAATGCTTGGTTGCTTTTAGTGTATTAAGAAAGTGAGGCTTTGAAATGCCTCTGCCTTATGGGTTTGCCAGGATTACATTTTATTCAGGAAAGAATGTTAGGGTTTGGTTGATATTTAAACAGTCTTTGATACTGAATGCCCTGTTCCTCCCTTTAAATACTAGCAGCAGCTTTCAACAAGCAACCACCCTATTACTGCTTCCTATATCTTTGTGTTTGGTGTTACTGTGTAGAATGTGGAGAATTAAAGGCAATAAAATAATTACTTTCTGGCCCCCTAAATTCTCAGTGTGTTTTTTCAGTAAGCTATGGTGTTACTTGGATAATCAGTGTAACTGGCTGTGCTGTTTGGTACAAACCATGCTCATGTACCATCTTACTCTCATGTGTGTAGCTGGAATCCATGTATGTTTACAGTCTGTATATAGAATCATAGAATCACTAGGTTGGAAAAGACCTTAGAGATCATCCAGTCCAACCGTATCTGTCCACCACTAAACCATATCTTTCAGCACATGGCTGAACCATATGGCACATACTGGTCTTACAAGCTCTAATGCTGATGTGGAAGGATACTGGGACATGTCTGTCAGTACCAGCCGGATGATTTTGCTGTAGTAAAGTTCTTCTGACACAGGATGGAGGAAAGCCAAGTTACATTTATGAAATCTCTAACTTAAGCAACAATGCTCAGCATTTAAATTGTAACATAATAGTAAGATATCATAGCACTTATGATGATATTAGCATCCAGTTTGGTTTTATGGAGTTTTATAAATGCTTATAAGTATGTAAACATAGGACATGTGGAATCTGTCATGGTAAAGGCTGGAGAGGTTTCATTCTGTTCGTCCCACAGTGGAAGGTTTGACTGCAGAGGGTCTCAGGTGTCTCCCTCTGGCTGTGGCTTGTTCGGCAGCAAGAAGATTCAGCACAGGGCTTTGCAATCATTTTGAGTCTAGCCACCATCCTTGGATTTTTTTCCTGTGCTGTAGCAAGGAGTGCAGTGTTCTTGCTCTGACTTTTTGAGAAGGTTTTCTTCCATCTCTACTTGATACTCAAGGTTTGTTTCTTTTAGTTTATCAAGAGGCAGATCCAGAGGCTCTTCCATTCCTCTGAATAGCTGGGCACCAGTGGTTTTGCCCAGCGAGGTGCTAGTTTTATGTTAGACCAGTGCTATTTTGGCGTAGGGAGTGAAAACAGAATGTGAACTTAAATGTAAATTTAGCTAAAATAAAACAAGAGTGATGGATGATATATAAACATTGGAGGATGAATCTTGCGGTTAACGCAGGCTGACTAAGCAGGATTAAATCTCTCTTTATTTTGGCAACAGTTAGGACTCTGATCATTGCAGCAGTCTGGTGAACCAAATGACTGTAATGTTCTTTCCCCAGTCAGGAGTGTTTTTTCTTCCCAGTTACATTCTGCAACATGTGATTGGTTTTTATTTTGGTCCAGTGACTTCTCACCTTTATTGACAGTGCTTAGTACTTAAAATGCTTCAGAAAATCTCTTTCTATTTCAGCGTCTTTTCTTCTGGGTAGCTCAATAGCCAGGTGTCTGTGACTTTTCTTGACCCATCAGGTTATTCTTCTGTGTCCCAATCTCCCCCCACCCCTTGATGCTTTCCAACATTTTCTGGAACAATTCTTAAGCATTTCAAAGATTATTTGTGGAAAGATATTGCAAAATGCAGTGTCTTTATGGCTGTAATACAGGAACTTTGCGAATCTAGCTTTGGTCTGTTAAAAGGTTACTGCTTCCAACCACTTGCTTAGCCCTTTGGTCAGTAATTTCCAACCCCTTAGCAGATTCAGTAGAGAGAAATACATGAGTGTGGCTTTCTTATCCTGTGAGCAGCTCAGTCTTTTGACTCAGCCCTTTCTCAGCTTGACTGGAAGAGTCAGGGCCTGGGCACAGATTCTGTCTGCTGTCACCAGAGGTGTTTTTTGTTGGAGAGGTGGGATATGCAGCCGTGCAGGAGGTGGTTTTGCGCCAAGTCTCATGAAAGACCATAGTCCACTTGAGCATTTTAGTCCCCTTTCAGCCTGCAGAGGGGAAAGGGAAGTGATGTGTGCATGCAGTGCTGCATGCCTTCTCTTAACGTGTACCTTGCCTAACATTATTTGAACACTTCACCTCTACAAGTGGGAGAAAATGTAATAACCAATTCTTTCCTCTAGCATGGGGCTAGCGCTCATATGACAGGGCTTTGGTAGGGGATTATCGGATTCAAGAAAATTAACTAAGATTGGGAGAGTGTGTGTTGCTGGAACCATTCTGCCATAAATAAACTCCTTTCAGCCTTGTGTTGTGACCTGGCTTGCAAATAAGTATAACACCAGATGTTTAAGAAATTTGTTATTTTCCATATTTAAGCCTTTCACAGCTTTTTGCTGTCCGGTTTGTGAGCAGCCTTTTAGCGCACAAGACACTTGAGCTAAAATACCCATGTTTCCTTTTGCATGGGTATTGTGTTACTTTATCATTCAGCTTTCTTATCTTTATTCTTTTGACCCTGTGCAGCATCCTGCTGCTGCATGTGTTGAAGGGTACAGGTACAGGCTCTAGAAGCAGTCGCAAAAGGGAGGCGAGTACCTGGTAGCATGGCATTGAAGGGAACAGTGCTGTTACGCAATAGGTGAGGAAAGGACTTATGAGAAATGGGTGGAAAGAAAGGAATGTGGAATGGCAAGGAACAGAAAGCATTTTTTTGGTTTAGGTTCTGTCTTGCTGTTGGTAGAGTATTTGTGACATGCTTTTAAGTGGTTGAGCTGAACTTTTGGTACAGGGCTGTATGCTCAAGTTGTACTTGATTATGACGCGTGATAAAACATACGATGTGTTGGATGCAGGACCTAGCATAACGTTATTTTTTAAACAAACAAAACAAGAACAAAGAAAAGCTCAAATTTGTAGTCTTTTAGCTCCAGTTAATATTAAAGAACAAAATGCTTAGCTGGTCTGTTACAAGAATTGTTCTTGGCCCTTTAGAATTGCATGTGATAAGAAAAAGATTATAGATTAACTAAATATTTCAGATTGTCCTTAACCTTGGCTGACAAACGTAAAACCTTTACTACTGGGTAGGAGTGTGCCAGGACATGCATCTTTTTTCTTTTTTTCTGTTGAGCAATTCCATCCTTCCAGAACTCATGACATTCCCATTCTGCACATCAGCACAACAGAAAAGTGTGTGTGCACGTCTTATTTACAGCTTTATACATTTTAGTAAGAGTTTATAATGATGATATTGTGGCTGAATATACAGTCTGATTACTTCCTGAAGGATTTAAAGTGCAGCCCTCTGATCCCAAATTGTCAAACACTAATAGGTAAACACGGGGTTGAAGAACTTTTTTTAGGAAAACTACAAAACAGTTATTACACAAAATCAATTTTAATGCTGTGAATTTAACTAACTTTTGGTGTAGTTTAGCGCCATGGAATTTTTAGTTTCAGTACAAAAATTCTCTTAAATTTGGTTTATATGTATGAATGTTATACTAGCAGAGCTATCTATGTAAGGTCTATAGACAATCTTAAGATGTATATTTGTGCTGACAAATATACTAGTGAATTCAGGTTAGCAGAGTAAGACAACTGGCACAACTTTACATCTTGAACTTCTGTAGTTACAGATCTGTTTGTATGGCCTGTGCCCTAGATTTTGGCATAGTGAAGCGTAAGAATAGGTCTAGTACTGTACACATGATCACACTTGCTCTCTATTATATAGTCTTGTATAAAGAAATGTGTGTGACAAACTCCTGGATGAGATCAGAAGAGCATTAGGCAATACTGGATGTCATGTGGTGTCCTTAGGCAGATCTGTGTGAAGAGTTTCTTGTAAAAGTTGATTATTCTAGGGGTTGGGGGATCTTTCAGCCTTCTAAAAATGATTCCCTAACCTTCAATCTGTGCTTTTGTCCTTGCAGACCTTTCAGCAGCCCAGAGAAAATTTGCCCATTCTCTGAGAGACTTTAAATTTGAATTCATTGGTGATGCAGAGACAGATGATGAAAGATACATAGGTAGGTAAGGAGTGACTGTAAGTGGCTATATTTTGCCATGCTATACTGCGTTATGATTAAACTTATTTTTTCTGTTTTTGTGTTACAGATGCGTCACTTCATGAGTTTTCAAACTTCTTAAAAAATTTGGAAGAACAAAGAGAAATTTTGGTGAGTTGCAGTAAGTTTTTTAAAAGCTGTATGTATGGCAGCGTAAGATGGAAGTCAGTTCAAGTTGCTTACTGCTTTGTTAACCACCAAGATATTTATATTGATAAGTTAACAATGAAAGCTCTCATTGTGCAGCCTCTGGTTCTGTAGTCTAGTTACAGACAACAGCTAGTTCTCATAAGGAAGAAAGCTGTTATGGTAACTATGAGTTGGTAGTGCCCTGATAAATTATGGCTATGGAGAATGGGGAAAACCATCATAAAGTTGTTTACCATTTACAGTAAAAAGCAAGATGAAAGACTTAGTACTGCAGCAGGACACCCAAGGTTGGGAAGTTGGCCAGATTTGGACGCAGGATCTCTGTGGCTCCAACTTCAACGGTTATGTGGATTTAGGATGCAGTGTGGTGGCTGGATGCAGTAGCAGACTTACAGACCTGTTCTTTGTAGGTGAGCTTTCTGGTGGAGGGTTGTATCTGCAAACATTTAGTTGCTCTGTTGTGTAGAAAGGAGTGTTCTTCATTGTTGTGCCTGTGATTGCTTAGCATTTTGGTGTAATGTGGGTCAGGTTGGCTGTGCACAGACTGCGGGCTGAGAGCTCTGCAGTACACCTTGCTGTCTTCCTTTCCTAAGTTATCCAGAAGATGGGGGAGTTCTTTCTGGATGGTACCTTGGTTCTCTGCAGTTGCATACCCAGCTTTCTTTTTGGAACAGGGATTCATAAAGCACATGATGTGTACCCAGTTTTCTTCCGAGTGTGGTCGAATCCTGCATCTAGGAAATGCTCTTACATCTATCTAGATAGCAATTATGTTCCTCGGTGTTTGCTATGTGATTATTTATTTATCTTCATGGAAGTCAGTGACCACTGAGAGGAAATGGAGACTCATCTGTGTTCTGTCGTCCTCTTTGCCATCTGCTGTGCCTGCAGTGTAGGAGTACGTAGATAAGTGAGAAAAGAACTCGTGAATCACTTTTTTGTAAATGTTTCTCTCTGCCAGTCCTGAGCTCGGTAATAGTCATGGTTCCTTGAGTGTGCTGTGTTACATCCCGTGTTGTTCTGATCTGGAACCACACTTGGGTCAGAATTAGGGACTCTGTGTTTCTTCACATGTTCCTGATGAATACGGTTTTTACATAGCTGGGACAACTTTTCAGTATCTTGAGTTGTTTTGCTGAATTGTAGGGGTTAGTTCAAGTATGTTTGAATGCTGCTTTCACGTAATTCTGAAGGTATAGTCTTTACTCTGCTTTTTCCTGCTGTCAGTGCTGTCTGTATAGTAAAACACTTCTGGTTTTCAGACTGAATGCCCCCAACCAGTATTACTTATTGTTTTGGTATGATGCCTATGCTTACATGGAAGACATTATCACACTAGCAGCAAATAAATGTCAGTTTATTGATAGGAAAAGGGTAACATGCAGCATTTGTTAGAACAGTGACAGTTTGATTAAAAACTGAGGAGTACCAAACATTGTGGGGCAAATATTTAATTCCAGTTAGAAGGAGAATGTGTTATGTATCATTTCTAGAGTGAGCTAGTATAACAGCAGCCATAAGTCTCTGAGAAAATGATTGTGTGGTGACTGATGAAGATAATTTTCAGCAGCTGCTGCTCTGACTGTTTTTTACTTCTCAGTTGATGTTTTAACGCTGGCATGAGATCTAGGGATACTCCCATGGAGAATATTAGGGCATGTTTGCACTCACAGATGTTTGGAATCAGGTCAGAGATCCAAAGACTTTCCATTAAGATACAAATTATATAGCAGGTTGATTTTTTTTTTTTTGGTGGGTTGTTTTTTTTTTAAAGTGTTCAGTTGTCTTTGCTAACAATGGTCTTTATTGAGTATTTTTCCCCTTAGCATTTTGAAAATGACCAGAAGGTTTCTGACTGCTCACTTGAGTTTCAGTGCAGAACTGCAGATAAATTTCAGTCACATAAAGTAAAATTGAAGACATCAATGAGTAACAACAGAACTAAGGACATTTCAGATATTGCTCTGCATTGTAATTTTTAGGTATTGGAGAAAAGTTATTTTTGTGCACAAACATATTGTAATTGAAACAAATTTGCACTTAAGATACATTCTAAAATGAAATACCCATCATCTACACTTCTCCTGGTTTTCTGAAAGTATTGTTTGTGATGACTCCAGAGTCCATAAAACCCTCTATTTAGTATTTACCATAAATTTACTTGTTTGGTTCTAGTTTTTTTGTGAATAATTTCATTCAGATGTTGGAGTCTTGCACTTCATGGTTTTACATTTCTACCATCTCTTTCAAAGGCTGCTGAAATTATATCCCCTCTGGCAAAGGATTTAGCAGCTTTTGAAAAGGGATGTGGACATCAATCCAAACATTTCACTGAAATGATTATGGAATGGCCAATACAAAAACAAATTACATTTTTCCGTAGCATTGTAGCTTGGTGGCATTCCACAGGGAAGATAGGAAATAGGTCGTTTTGTCCCTGAGAATATTCTGGAAATTACTTCTACATGTTAAGGATGAATGGAATTGTAGGACTTAGATTCTGCCTCTTTGACGTAAGTGTCATGGAGGTGCAGGGCTGAAAGGGAACTTCACAAGGCTAGTAGGAAAAGGTTGGGGACTAACAAGCACCAACATGGTGACGCCAAGATGCTCTGCCCTGCTATCTATCCCCTGCTTGCCTGGGAGGGCACCAGACGTCCCTCCCAGCCCCAGTTCTCCTGGCAGCAGAAGCAGGTTTGATTCTTGCAATGGACTCGGAACAACAGGCTTCACTTGCTGCCCTCGGTTAAACTGTGGGGCTGAACAGCGCCTACCTGGTAGGTACTGATCACTGGTGGTTTTGTTAGCCCTTTTTCACCTTTCTTTTTACCACCTTCATACACCCCTTCCTCCATTCCAATCTTTGGAATGACAAGCCTGCCCCTGATTAGTTTTCCCTGTTGATTCCAGTCTTGCTAAATCATGACCATATTTGATAGCACTTGTACTGTTCCCTCAGTAATCTCAGCAGCACTCAGCACTACTGGTGCGGTCACCTTGATGTACTGGCTGCGCGTGCTTCCCCTCCCAGCCCTTCAGCTGCTTCTGGCGTTCACGTTTCTTGCATAACTCTCCCTTAACCACGCTGGAAACCCAGTCAGCTCTCACAGCACTCTGACTTTTGTCAGCATCTCTCAGGATTGCAGGCAAGGTCCAGCCATCTCTCAGGTCCTGTCTGGTGATGTTTCATGGCCTATTTGGTTACCTTACTCCCATGCCAGGACTGAGTTGACAGAACTTGCCTGCAGCCCTGAGAGCTGCCAGCAGGACCATGTACACCTACGTGATCCCTGATGAGTGCTGGTCTAACCTTTTCTTTAAAAAAAGTCCCAGGAACAGGGATTTTTCTAGTCTTACTCCAATATTTATTCTTCTTTTTTTTTTTTTTTTTCCCCCACCTCATATCCATCCTCTCTCTTTTACTGCAAGTTAAACTGGGAAATTTTGGGGAACTCTTCTACAGTAGTCATGGACTAAAACTGATCACTTTTCATAGTAGGATTTTCACTGTTAATGCTTTCAAAGTGATGTTTTGCATCTGTATTCTTCCTTATTCAGTTTAATTACAGTGAGTTTAGACTCTTTAACATCAGAATTATTTTTATTCATGTTTTCTGAAAGCACTGACTCTTTCTCTTAGATTTATTCACTCCACATGTATGTTAGTGTGGTGGAGCTATTGGTAAGTCACTCCGTAACTTGTTATTGAAAACTGGATCATGCAGGAAACTTGGCTGTAGTTTCCTATATGATGCTTGAAATGTGCTTTTAGCTGAACAGGTATTTTTGAGGACAGTTTTGCAACCAGGATGTTATTTTATGGTTGGAGCGAGTCCAGAGGAGGCCACAAAGATGCTCAGAGGGCTGGAGCACCTCTGCTATGATGAAAGGCTGAGAGTGTTGGGCTTGTTCAGCCTGGAGAGGAGAAGGCTCTGGGGAGACCTTATAGCACTTTCCAGCACCTGAAGAGGCCTACAAGGAAGCTTGCAGGGGACTTTTTACATGGGCCTGTAAATGACAGGACAAGGGGTAACGGGTTTAAATTGAAAGCGGGAAGGTTTAGATTAGATATCAGGAAGAAGTTCTTCCCAGAGAGGGTGGTGAGGCACTGGAACAGGTTGCCCCGAGAAGCTGTGGATGCCCCATCCCTGCCTGTCCGGCCGGGCTGGACGAGGCTTTGAGCAACCTGGTCTAGTGGAAGGTGTCCCTGCCCATGGCAGGGGGGTTGGAACTAGATGATCTTTAAGGTCCCTTCCAACCCAAACCATGTTTCCTGTCATTACCCAAGTCAATATAAAGCTCACTGTTTTACTTTGATATGGTCTGTTCTATTTCTTGCTACACTTTTGTCACACTTTTATTCCTTCAAATATCTTTCAAAAGGTCCTATGTAGTTGTCTTTTGAACTTCTTTTCTTTTTGAAAAGAAGGAGGACTGTTGTCCTTATGCCATAGGTATCTTTGCAGTCCTGGCCTCTCAAAAATCCTTTTGTGTTCTTCTTCAGTTTTCCCAGGTTGTCAAAATCAAATTCAAAATAGTATCTCTCTGAATAGCCGAATTATTCCCATTATCCGGAACGTAAGAAACTGTTTAGGTATGGATTATATCTGTATCTTAGTGAAACCATTATTTTATTCTTTCTTTCTTTCTTCCTCTTTAAAAAAAAAAAAAGGGAAAAAGGAATGTGAGAGGTTTCCCAGTTGTGGTTTCCCAAGTAAAAAGAAGTTGTTAAGGTTCAAAGGCATACACTGATAGGTTAAAGGTAGAATTTAAATAATCTGTGCAAATATGTATTTACATATACTTACTTATACTCACCTCTTATGATGAAGTATTTAAGTGCATCAGTATTTCATAGGTTAAGTGCTCACTTAACACATTGTGTTCATGAATAGTGTACTATTACCTTTTATTCAGTGACTCTGTGTTTAGATTACACTAGTATACTCTGCTGTGGACAT